GCTGAATACAGCACCTCAGACTGAGGAAGTCTCTTGGATGAGAGACGAAACATTTCTACATTTTTTTGTTGTTTTGTTTTTTTGAATGTCCAGAGGACCAGATTTAACTTTTTTTTAGATTTTTCTACCTGGATTATTGAGCATGTATCAGGAAACAACAACAACAACAATAATAATAATAATAATAATAATAATAATAATAAATGTCCAATGAAAAGTCCGCAGTTATGCGCTCAAAAATATCAAGATATAAAAATATTGTTTCATTGGGGTCCATTCATCAGTCTTGGGCTTTTAAAACAAAAAGAGAAAGATAAGGAAACATGTCAAGGAGTGTTGAAACCCTTAATGCAGGGTGACAACTGACAGAGGCTCTGTGTAAAAAACTTGGTCTTTGGTTTTTCACTGGTTGTTTGTTTTATGGTTGTTTTTGAGGTGAAAAATGACTGTCAATTTATAGCAGTTTTTTTTTTTTCTTTCAAATTGAATGCTTCTGTTTTTGGAATTTATATATTTATATATGTATATATATATATATTTAGGGTACGGTGTCAGGTCAGTTGGACCTGCATCTTCACACACACACTCAGCTGCTCGTGTTTACTTCTGCTAAACGTCTCCTCTCCTGCCCACCCACCTCCTGGAGAAGCGGGGGGGTGGGGTGGTGCAGCTGAGGTCTATGTGTGTTTGCGTTCAAGGAAGGAAGAAGGAGGGGGGCGAGTGGGAGAAAGAAGACGGCAGGAGGATTTCCAAGTATAAAACTACAAAAATGGATTCCAAAAAAGTTGGGACACTAAACAAATTGTGAATAAAAACTGAATGCAATGAAGTGGAGGTGCCAACATCTAATATTTTATTCAGCATAGAACACAAATCACAGATCAAAAGTTTAAACTGAGAGAATGTATCATTTTAAGGGAAAAATCTGTTGTTTCCAAATTTCATGGCGTCAACAAATCCCAAAAAAGTTGGGACAAGTCCATTTTTCCCACTGTGTGGCATCCCCCCTTCTTCTTACAACACTCAACAGACGTCTGGGGACAGAGGAGACCAGTTTCTCCAGTTTAGAAATAGGAATGCTCTCCCATTCATGTCTAATACAGGCCTCTAACTGTTCAATCGTCTTGGGCCTTCTTTGTCGCACCTTCCTCTTTATGATGCACCAAATGTTCTCTATAGGTGAAAGATCTGGACTGCAGGCTGGCCATTTCAGTACCCGGATCCTTCTCCTACGTAGCCATGATGTTGTGATTGCTGCAGAATGTGGTCTGGCATTATCGTGTTGAAAAATGCAGGGTCTTCCCTGAAAGAGATGACGTCTAGATGGGAGCATATGTTGTTCTAGAACCTGAACATAGTTCTCTGCATTAATGGTGCCTTTCCAGACATGCAAGCTGCCCATGCCACAAGCGCTCATGCAACCCCATACCATCAGTGATGCAGGCTTCTGAACGGAGCGTTGATAACAACTTGGGCTATCCTTGTCCTCTCTGGTCCGGATGACATGGCGTCCCAGTGTTCCATAAAGAACTTCAAATCGTGACTCATCTGACCACAGAACAGTCTTCCATTTTGCCACACTCCATTTTAAATGACCCCTGGCCCAGTGCAAACGTCTGAGCTTGTGGAGCTTGCTTAGAAATGGCTTCCTCTTTGCACTGTAGAGTTTCAGCTGGCGACGGCGGATGGCACGGTGGATTGTGTTCACTGACAATGCTTTCTGGAAGTATTCCTGAGCCCATTCTGTTATTTCCTTGACAGTGGCATTCCTGTTTGACGTGCAGTGACATTTAAGGGCCCGGAGATCACGAGCATCCAGTAGAGTTTTACGGCCTTGACCCTTACGCACAGCGATTGTTCCAGATTCTCTGAATCTTTTGATGATGTTATGCACGGTTGATGATGATGATAACTTAAAAGTCTTTGCTATTTTACTCTGGGTAACACCATTCTGTTAATGCTGCACTATCTTTCTGCGCAACAATGGTGGAATTGGTGATCCTCTTACCATCTTGGCTTCTGAGAAACACTGACACTCTGAGAAGCTCTTTTTATACCCAATCATGTTGTCAATTGACCTAATTAGTGTTAATTGGTCTTCCAGCTGTTCGTTATATGTTCAATTTCTTTTTTCCAGCCACTTATTGCTACTTGTCCCAATTTTTTTGGGATTTGTTGACACTGTGAAATTTTGAATCAACATATTTTTCCTTTAAAATGTTACATTTACTCAGATTAAACTTTTGATCTGTCATCTATGTTATATTACGAATAAAATATTGAAATTTGCCATCTCCACATCATTGCATTCAGTTTTTATTCATAATTTGTTTAGTGTCCCAACTTTTTTGGAATCCGGTTTGTAAATACTAATGTTAAAATTCTTGCAAAGGTCCTGGCAAAATTATTGGAGCGGGTGGTCCCCACTATTGTCTCACCTGATCAGACTGGGTTTCTTAAAACCCAGGCTTTCTTCAATGTTAGGCGGCTGCTTGATGTGCTGTACACTCCTAGCCCACACTTGCTCTTGTCGAGGTCGGATGCTTTTCCCTTCCCCTCCCTCTCTGCTTTGCTTTGCTGCTCTGTCTGTCTGTGAAACTGCTTCTGAGCCTCTCTTGCATATCTTCCAAACCATAATTATGGACTTGATTTGATCAGTTGGTCCCTCAACAAAATTGATAACAGTTCTTCAAAGAGAAGACAGGCTTTAGGCGAGCTGACTGCCCTGTTGACACGCACGCAGCTGGATATCTCATCGACCTGAAGACATGATGATGTGTCTATCTCTGCTGCCATTTGTGGATTTTAAGGATACATATTTAATTGGATTTACGATAACTGGTTCCTACTTTTTGGATTCGGTTGGTTGCTGGTTTATCTACAATCATTGAAGTCATCGGCAGCAAATTTGGACCCTATCACGCTGCTTGCCTTATGATGGCTTGGTTCGTGCCTCAAGTATCCAGACTCAAATGCTTTGGGTAGAATGGATCAGATCTCGGGGATTTTACTCAGTCACGTTCTATCGGTGTGGCCATGTAATTTGGACATTTCGGAACCGTTTGGACCAACACAGACTCGAGGTAGATGTCATTAAGTTCTGCCTGTCCCCAAAACAAATGTGTGTTTGTCTGAATTTGGCTCCCCTGGCTGGCCTTAAAGGACATCTTATCTGAATTTGCCTGGAGAACATGTAATCTGACGCTCCCCCCCCCCCCAATCGAAGAATTTCCAACTGATAACCAGATGAAACCAGCTGAATAAACATTGTGTCATCATTTCAGGACTCTTGATTCCCATAGGCGTTGTTCTTGGCCATTCCCTGACATCCCTCAAGAATGTTTACGGGTCTTACCTCAAGAATGTTTACGGGTCTTACCGGAGGGAACTGGTTGATTATTCCATCCTTATCAGAACTCTTACAGTGCCCTTGAGAGCATCCATGGACATTGCTCACCGCTCTCGTCATCCCCCCCCCCCCCAGCAGAATGTTCATGTCACTCTGTGCAGTTTGTGCGAGGTGACTTTAATATTAGAGTTTTTCTTCTCAGCCAAGAAGAAAGAGTCTGATAGAAAAAAAATTTCACCTCCAATTCCTACGTGTCCAGTTTCACTACTTTTTGTCTGTCCAAACATATCTCACTTGTAAATTAGTCTTCTAGGCTCAGTGTGACTTATCTGTCTAAATAAAGGTTGAATGAATGAATGAGAGCACCTATGATGAAGTCATTATTTCATTAGATGCGGAAAAAGCATTTGACCGGGTGGAGTGGGATTACCTCTTTGTGACTAAAGTTATTTACATTATGTCCCCAATTTATATCATGGGTGAGGCTGATATATACCTCCCCAACGGCGGTGGTCAGCACCAACTGTAAAATGTCTTCCCATTTTAAACTGCAGCGGGGTATGAGACAGGGGTGTCCGCTCTCACAACTTCTATTTGTGTTGGCAATAGAACCATTAGCTATAGCTTTGAGGCAGAATTCCATCAATGGGATAAATAGACTAGGAACAGAACACAAGGTCTTTTTATATGCAGACAACATGCTTTTATATATCAGACCCCCTTACCAGTGTCCCTGAACTAAGTCAGTCTGCAGGAGAGCGTGTGGAGCAGTCTCGCTGCAGAGATACGGTATTTATAAACATGCAAGGGAGCTAATCAACAACATCTCTGTTTGATTGGACTGAACCAGGCTTGGGGTGTGTGGCGTCGCTGACCCAAGGTCTCAGAGCAAAGCTCCCAGCACAAATCTTACGTCAACAGGAACTTACTTTGACTATGGCTACAACTGTGATAACAAATTACAGCTTCAGTGGAAATCATAGGACACTCAAAACATTAGGAAATATATGCATTTAAGGTTCCCATCACAGAGTGCAGGTCCGGAATCAAAATAAATAAATACTACAAGTACTATTCTGTGTCATGCTTCTTAATGGTTTTGCTTTGTCAGGGTGCAGAATATACAGCACCAGCTAGCTCAGTTGGACACTGAGAGCTGGTCCGGACGGGCTGAGGCAGACCGGGACCGGGACTTCATGCAGCTGCTACGTGAGAAGGAAACCCTCCTTCAGGAGCTCATCCTGGTCAGCAAGCAGCAGCACCCACCAGAGACGCTGCTGCAGCTGGAGGAGGAGCGTTCCAGGCTGGAGGAGGAGGTGCAGAGAGCCTACAACTCTCAAAGCCAGGGAGCCAATCAGAGGTGATGATCAGGACCCCAAATACTACTCAATAAAAATGTTGTAAAATTTGTCCCTAAATGTTTTTTGTTATACATACTAAGCTGTATCTTCCTGACATTTGTCCCAATAGGATCTTGCAGCAGGAGAAGAGGAACGTTCTACTCAAGCAACTACAGGAGGCAACTCGCATCACCACCTACCTTCATTCCCAGCTGAAAAGGTGCAGAGAAAACCTTTGCCTTTTGGCAGAGAGTAACGTTTTTGCCCACATTTATGTTCTGTGCTTATTTTAACGAAACTTGCAAAAAGTAACAATCATTGGCTCTGGATGTACATCTACAATTTAATACTTCAGGCAGTTTTACAGATATTGGGCTAAAATGTGATGCAATAGCTGAGAGTCTTCCCCAACACATACTGAGTGTGTACATAACACATAATCCCACATCACATTCAGGGTTTGATCACAACATCAAACTTCATCATTTCGCATCATAACATGATCTTAGTTTAAAACTCTGGTGGCAAATGATATTCATTCCTTCAAAGAATGCTACTCTTGTTTTGTCTTTCCATGCCAGTGTCTGTTTCTCTTTCCTGTCCCCAGCCTGTCAGCCAGCTCTCTAACAGTGTCCTCCAGCAGCAGCCGCGGCTCTCTGGCCTCAAGTCGGGGCTCTCTGGCATCCAGCCGGGGCTCCCTCAGTTCCATCAGCTTCAGTGACATCTACGGCGTCCCTCAGTACGAGGGCACTGGAGAGCCACTCGATCCCCACATTCGTTACCTGCTTCCCCTAGAGAGCATGCCTAAAGACTGCTCTGTGTTTTCTCCTGAACCCTTGACCCAGAACAAAACAAAACGCTCCCATGACACCCCGCAGTCCCTGGCCTCCCTTTCCTCTCGCTCCTCTCTTTCCTCCTTGTCGCCTCCCAGCTCCCCCATGGACACTCCTTATCACTCTGCACCCCAGGACTGCTCCCTCACCCAAATGACAGAGGAGTACATGGAACAGGCAAGCTGCAGGCTTCTGGAGGGGCTGCGGGCCCAGACTCAAACCTTGTCCTATTCATCCATGCTGAGCAGCGAAGACATGGTGAACCCTGCCCCCACCCATAAGCTTGACACCAAGATTCATAAAGATGGCAGGGGTCAGATGGCCTACACCTCCACAGGTAAGTGAAGAGCTGAGCTGCTTAAAAAAATCCTAATCAAAAATGAAATATTGTGAAATACTGTATTAGTTATTTAATTTTCTAGGAGTGACTCTGAGGGGAAACAGTGCCAACAGGAGAGCCCGAAGAGTCTCTGCAGGCGTTTCTGAGGACGCTTTGGCTACTGACAGTGGCGTGTTCGAGGCGTGGGGCAAGAGGTGAGAGGACGAGTACACAGAGTATAAAAACATTTGTCATAAAATTAGATAATATAAACCATAAATGTTGCATTATTTTAATCATTTAACTTTTAACAGGGCAGAGGAGTATGAAGAACTGTCATCTGCAGGCGAGACTACTCAGATCCAGCTGGGACTTCTGTGAGTAAACTCCCCACGCAGACCGTGGAGGTTGTCAGGCTCTATAGGTCTCTGTTTGGACTCAGCTTTGTTGAACCCTTGTCTTTTCAGGTGGGAATCTGCTTCTCAGTCTCTGCGGCTGCACTTGCTGCACCTGAAGAATCTGAACTCCTCAAATGTGAGAGAAGGCTATAAAGTGTGAGTGTTTCCAGCTTTAATGATAAAAGTTTTACTTTTGAACAGGGGTCACTTTTTTGAAGCAATACCTGCAAAACAAAAATAGACAAACAAATGAAGATGCAAGGTTTGTGTTCTTAAAAATGGAGAAACAGCTGTATGGTTTATTTCTCAAACAAATTTATGATGTACTGTAATTCTGGGACTACAGAACGCACCTGTTTCTAAGCCGCACATATTCAATATAAGATAAATCATTATTTTGTACATAAATGAAACGCTCCTGCTATTTAGCCGCAGGCATCCACCGTTCATCGTCAGGATCTGTGCCCAGCCAGCTCCGGCAGTGTGCAGCTTTCTTGTTGTAGGACAAGAATCAGCCAGTAGATGGTGCTTCACAGAATATAGCTTGCTTTGAACACATACTCAGACTGTGTGATCGTCACATGTCTTCATGAAGCTTCGCTGTCTGACTCATGGTTAAAACCATTCAACCTAGAAAATGAACACAAGAACTATCTAAGGATAATCACTGGACAGAACAGTGCCAAAGACCTACGTAAAAAGAAATTATTTTAAAATTATTTACCGGTAAATATTACCCAGAAGTCTTATCGAGTTCATGTGATCGCAAGTCAAATAGTACCGGTAAAATATGATAAATATTAACTAAATTAGCACCATTGATTTTTATTGTTAAACAGTATCGGTAACAACTGTTGTTTTTAAATGTACTATTATGTATGGATTGAAACGTCACTCTTTTTTCGGTGTCAAGTTTTGGTATTGGCTGTAACGTGTCACGTGGTTTCAGCACGCTGGCAGGTAAAACGCAGACATAGAGCAAACAGACTACGTGTTTACACCCATAGCTGTTTAGAGCAGCTGTACAGCTTGTATGTCTATAGTGCTGTTACGCCCACTGATGGGGTTCACGTGTGCAGCGCGTGTGGCGTTGAACGGCTTCAATTTACAAGCGGAAAGTTGCTCCGTGTTTTTCTGTAAGGAGAGAGAAGGACAGCAGCCTTCCCCCTCCTCCTCCTCTCAGCATTAAAGTCAGCCTGTGAGTGTTGAACGGCCTGATTCAACATGGATTCCTCTTCATCAAAGAACTCTGAGGACGGAGATGTGTCTGGGTTTCAGCTGGTGAGTTTGCGTTTGTTAACATTACTGCAGCTTAACACGTGCATTGCGGTGAATTAAACAAGAATCCATGTAACGCTAACTTTAAGATATTAGTGTGTAACTGTATTTTATCTACGTAGCTAGTTAACTCAGAAGCTAACTAAAGATTGACAGTAACAGATAAAGCTTGTAAAAATGTGCTCATCAGTCCATTCAGCTGCTTCAACAGTTCACCTAATGTTCACCGTTTGTTTATGTTCTCCTCACAGGAGGTTCTGACCCAGATGTGAGGACAGAGACATACAAAAGAAAAGTGAGGTGGGGGCCACAGGACAGTCACAAACTTTGTTGTTAAAAGTTTGCTGCTTTTTCTACAGTGGAGGCTGCATGGTGGAGGTAAGTAAACTTTAAAGGATGTTGTTGACCAGTTAAACTTTTATCTCTCAGCCTAGATAATGTTTTTTGAGCAATAATAACGCAACCATGTTATTGATGATGTTTTGTTCTCATGTCAATTAGGGAGATGATCAGAGCCCTAAACCCCAGAGAACCACAGAGAAGATTCAGGCAGAGACACAGAGGTGCAGATGTCTGCATCAACCCTACCTCATTGAATCCAGAGACCTGCTGGTGGAATGTGAGGGACAATATGTCAGTGCTATCAAACTAGTCAACCAGGTATCTGTGTGTGCAACAAGCATCATCTACAGCCTCAGAGTGAACATTTTCTACTGCTGGAGACACCATCAGCCAGGATCATGCTTGTTTGTGTCCACAGAAAACAGACATGTTGATTTTCCTGAAGAAAAACTGTTAAGTGAAAAGGTCCTCAGTGTGAAGCAGTGAGCATTAGACACTGACGTGTCACTGGTTTGAAACTGTTCTTTTGAACTGGAAATTATTTGTTTATTTTTATTTAAGAAAACTGCTTGGAATAGAAAAATACCAAAGTTAAAAAATAAAACTCACAATTTGTACTGCAATGTGTAACGTAATTTTATTCTTGTTAGAATTGATAGTAATTACAAAATTGGTACTGAAAAAAGAAGCCGTCTTGGAACCGACACCAAAGTGAAGGTACCGACACCAGTACCGATACCGATTTTTTTTTTTTTAGAAAGGTACCCAGCCCTAGTCTCTACCGCTCGCTGAGCTCTCATGATGGAAACGAGAGGGGGGAAGACCCCTCCTGTTGTTCTCCACTTGGTGTTCGGATATGAGCTTAAAATAAGATCCCAGAATTTAAACACATATTTACCATACACAGAAAGATGTCACACAGAAAGAATGTTAAAACTTTTATTAAAATGTACCAGAGTTAAAACGTACTGCATTTGCATCTCCAATGCCCGAGCATCGACGTGTTGATGGAAATCTTATGGGTGGCAGCTTTGTTTCCTCCTTTGACAGCCAGATCAATCACTTTAAACTTAAAAGCTGCATCGTAAGAAATTTTCTGTGTTTTCTCCATTATCGCTGAACAAATGAACAGGTCTGTGCATGAAGCGCAAAATACGGTAATGACAGGAACGATCTGAAGAAATTAATGCACGTTTATCTTGGGATATGGTTCTCGAGAGTACCTCATTGGTCATTCAGGTTAGACTTCTGGTCACATGATGACAGAGTGAGTGGAGTTATGGTTGGGTATTTGAAACCCTGAGCAAGAGTATTTGTACATGAGGTTACCTGAGGGCATTCTCTCTGTGTCACAAACGCCTGTTCCCAAAAGGGACAGGGTGTTGGGAGCCACAAGCACCCAGCTCTGTCAAAGGAAAATGTTAGGCAGTGGCAGGAAGTTTACTAAGAGACAGCAGGAAGTCTTTCAAAATAAAATATAAAAATATAACTTGTGAAAATTATAAGAAAAATACATAAATAAGACACCTGCATGTATACCGCGGATACAAAGTGTGAGAAGAAAGTAGCGGCTTGTACACTGGCAATTACGGTATATATTTTAAAAAGCTTTACTGTGTGAAAAAGTAAATGCATTCTAACTGTCCAAAAGTTTTTCTTTCCTAATCTAAAATACATTTCTCTATGTAAAAGAAAGAAATAAACTGATACATTTTCCCCATTTGTTTTAAAGGTTTGTAAAGGTGCACTTGATTCCACTGGACGCCAGCAGGACCTGTGCGTTTTACTGCTGTACAGCTCTGCAGCCTCAGTGCCAGATGAGTTTCAACGAAGGCTTCCGTATACCAGTTCCTGCTAATGCCCTGGCAGTGTACGGCCTGCAGCTGTCGGTCTGCTTGATTGGACCTCAGGCTCAGGAGGAGCTACTGGTGAGTCTGAAAGGCTCTGCAACACAGCAGAGTATAAACTACAGTTAATCATGAGTTCACAGTTTGATTTACAATGAAATGCTGTCTGCGTGTTCCTGCAGGGTACGGCCCAGCTAAGCCTGGCAGATTGCGAGGGGAATACAGAGATGGTTTACCATTGGCTGCGAGTCCAGATGTGGAGTGGAGCAGATTCACAGAGACCTGAACAGAAGAGTCTTACCAATCGCAGACACGACAGCCAGGATGATGAGAAAAGACCCAGAGCCATGGTGAACACACATTTTACACATCTTTTCACACTGTTCACAAACCAGTTCCAGTTGTCCAGAGGGCTAAATCAAGAGATTGAAAGCAATCAAAGGGCTGCATAGAGAATTAGAAAATACATTTTCTTTAGGACAAACAACCTGGAAGACTTTTTTCAGTTTTTTTCCCATTGTAGCGTCATAGCATGCCTGATAAAAATGTTTCCCCAATACTCTTTAGAAATATAAGACATTCATTCAACCTTTATTTAGACCTTTATTTTACTTACAAATTAATTAGATTGTGACATACTGTCACAAGAGTATATTTGTTAGCCTAAATTTGCAAATTCAAGGTTTTAACAAAATATTTAAAAGTTGTTTTCTTTTCAGCTAAGAATATTGGGGGCCTGATGGAGATTGTCTAAAGGCAATCACCCCCTAGACAATCTAGGGCAGGACTATTCAACTAAATTGCTCAGGGGGCCACAGTTACTGAAAGCCAAGAGCTCAGTGGCCGGACATCCAACAGTTATTGTCATTAAGTAAGTTTGTTTTATGGTTTAAAATTGAGTTTTATTTAAAAATGAACCCACTGATGGGCCGAACTGAGCTCACCCATGGGCCTGATTTGCAGGGGCGGAAGTAACGAATTACAAATACTCACATTACTGTAATTAAGTAGATTTTTTTGGGTACTTGTACTTTAATGAGAATTTCTTTCAAGTGTGTAATTTTACTCATTCTTAAGTACAATTTAGACCATGTAATCTACTTCACTACTTTTAAAATCAGAAGTTGCTATGGAGTACGGCCGCAATTTGAATTGATATTAAAACTGTTCATCTGCATCTTTTGTAGCCAATAAGGCTGTCAGACCACCAACGTGCCAATTACCTATGACATAAGCAAAGGACAACTCCATAGAGTAGAGAGTCATTTATGGACTGAAAATTTGGAGAAAAAGCCAAAATGGAGGCAAAGGACAACACTGTCAACAAGGAAAATGACTAGGTAAAGGCTGAGGACGAGTGCCCGTGGCCGTACCTGGAGGAATGTTTCATGTAAAGAGGGCTAAAAGGAGACAGCGTCCAAATGCAAACGTTGTTTGATCTCTACGATGATAGCAGCTTACAAGACATAAGCATCTAATCTCAAAAAACATATTGCGGTATACGAGGTTTTACAGATACCTGTATGATATTGTTTTTTTATTGTTTGTATGTGTGGGTTATTAGTTTGGCTAAGTATGTAAAGATCTTAAATATTGTGACTGCCATTGGTTTGCCTGGTACGAAAATAAGACGGATCTTCTGAGCTTGAATATCTTCCTGTTTATCAGCTATACAATTAAAGTATGCAGTATTATCCTTTTTAAACCATTATATTTGATCGTAAGCTTTTTGGAGTTCTGCGTGCGTTTTTGAGGCTTCTTCATTTTTTTGTGTGTGAGCCTATTTTGAAATGTCTGCATATCAGTTTCATATTTTAAATTTACATCTAGCAGTTTCCTACTGATATCCTGATGCATGCTCAATAATCCAGGTAGAAAAAATCTAAAAAAGTAAAATCTGGTCCTCTGTATATTCAAAAAAACAAAACAAAAAATTGTAGAAACGTTTCGTCTCTCATCCGAAAGACTTCTTCAGTCTGAGGTGCTGTATTCAGCTCAGTCTCTTAAATAGCACCTTCTCAGAGTGGATTAACCAGTTTGCTGCTGACAACCAGAACCAGCTGCTCACATGGTCAAGAAGGACCATCAGCCTAACAATGGATCATTAGTACCTGATGGCTGTTTACTATTCACAGGGGGTGTTGCAGTTCGGTTTGGTCGTTCGGCGCGCATGGTTCTGTTAAAGGGACGGGGGCCCCTGACATATTACGTCATGAAATTAGCATATCACAATATCATTTTTTGCCTGGGCAAGCGTTTTTTACCGGTATGATCGTGAACAATATGATATGGCCCAGCCCTAATGGCAAATATGAAATATGAATGAATAACCAATAGTATTATTTCAGAAAGTGAATGACATAAATAATAGAATTTGAGAAGGAGTATAGATTTATTTTGGACTCAGGTTTTTAGCTGTAATGTTAAAATTAGGTAAGTTTATCTTAGATTTGCAAATTAAATTATGTTTAAACAAACTTAGTTGGCACTGGTTTTGTCATCAAAGGAAGATGTTTTATCCTACCGGAGGATGCCATATTTCTCTCATTACCACTGCAGAGCCAGGAAAAGCCGGTGGCCTGCTTTCCCAAGAGGATGTCTTTTCTCAGGGCTGCTATTCGTCTGGCATGTACCCTCTCGCTCCTGGGTGTTTGAGCATTTTAGGACTTCTGGATTGACTCAGAGCCAACTCTCCACCAGGACAAACTCTTCATCATCGTTGCTGTTTCTCAGAGTCTCAGCAACTCTCCTCAGCAACTGCTTGACCACAACTCCACTCAGTTGCTTGAAGTCCACGGACCTGGTGTCCTGTTTACTTGAGGACTGAAAAGTCATGCCCCTAATTTCTAACCAATCAGAGTGTTCTCACAGTGGGTGTAACCTGACTGTATAATTAATGTAATTATATCTCTCTTTCTGAAAGTCTCCGCGAGGATTACACAATTGCCTTTGGTCAAAGAGAGTGACACCATTTCTTTTAGCAAAATGCAAGTTTGGTTCTAACATCCTATTGTTACAAAGATAATTGTTTGAAGCTCTGTTCATCTGGGTTTTATTTCTTTAGTTACCATGACAACCATAGTTCTTTAGCGTAGATTAAGGCTCACTCTTTGTTGGAGATTTCTTTCCTGAGACTAAAGTCTGGTCTTCAGATCAGAGGGCCATTCAACACAGAGGGGGTTCAGGATCATACAGTATGTCAGGGTGGGCCCGATGTACTCATCCTGACTTGGTAGATTTGCACACAGGAAAGAGGGGGTAGGAGAGAAGCAGTGTCTCAGGACATTCTTTCTCTTTGAGGACGTTTTGTCTTTGATAGGGCCTTGGATGGACATTACATAAATAAAATAAGCTTAATATCTGTTGAGCATAAATGTAACATACAACAAAACATAAGTTGCCTTTAAATGAGCTATAACTTCCAGTACTTGTGACAAGGTGTCTTCATCTGACCCTGAAGCTTGTTGTTGTTTCAGGTTCCTGTGTTCCTGCAGGAATGATTCCATTTCTCTGACTGCTCTGTCTTTGATTACAGGCCTCTTTTCTTGGTCCGTGGACTGTGGAATTCGAGACACAGCTAAGCTGCGCGTGTTTATACCGGCAGCTTAAAGCAGGGTGGGTGGGGAGGGAGAGACAGCTGAGCTGTGCACTGTCTGTACCCGCAGTTTAGAGCTGGATGGAGAGACACAACTGAGCCGCGCATTGTTTGTTTTTAGCTAGCTAGTATTGCACACAGCTAATTAGTGTTACGCCAGTACCAACAGGGGGGTGGGGGGTGCGCAGTTCGGTTCGGTAGTTCGGTGTGCTTGGTTCTGTTAACGGGGTGGGGCGCCCCACTTGTATAATGGTAGGGGAAATGCTGACATATTTATGTCATGAAATTAGCATGTCATAATATATCTGATGCCCCTTTTCTACTGTTACGGTGCGGATCAGGTCAGTTCGGGTCAGCTCAGATCGGCTCTTGTGTCGTTGCGTTTCCATTTACACTTCTGGACCGGCTCTGTAGGCGGGGACAAGAATCCAACTCGTCTTAACACCTGGTGGCGGTAGTGCTCCCTTAAGCTATTTACTAGCCACCACTAAACATATTAGAAGAAGAACACCCTGAAAACTTTGTGACACGATGTTGTGGAAGAGATGTCATGCTCTAATGGAGTACCTCATGAGCTGTAACTTTTAAACCTGATTCATAATCCTACCTTACTGCCTTCCTGCTGCTTTAAACCCAT